CAAAAACCGTGGCTCACGAAAAGCTATGCATAAAGCCATGCCTTTCAAGACCTCCAGTCCGAAGCGTGACATGCAGTAAAAATCGAACGGCTTCACTAAGAGACTCACTCGGACAGCTGAATCCTTTTTGCGCATTGGGGTTGGTCTCACAAGTTGTTGCTGCCAAAGCAAAGGAGTGACTGGACTCAGCGCCGGCGTTCACGGCTTTGGGTTATATAGGCAGAGAGTCATGGGACTCGTCTTAAAAACATATCAAAAATGCGGTTTTGTGTAGCAGTCATAGCTTGATTGCAGCGAACGACAAATCTTCTCACTTCGGCATTGGTGGCATTCAAAATGACGAGCAAAAGCTGGCCTTCAAAACCAAGCTCCTCAAGCTCATCAATAGTTTCCTCCAAATGATACTGCAATTGGAGGGCTGCCAGTTTGACACGAAAGAAAAAGAGCAGTTGCGACAGCAAGCTTTGCAAGCGTTCCAATGTAGCTTGCCGACGAGCGCGTAACATGGACAATCGGTTCAAGTACCCCTCAAAAGAGGGAGCAGGCAGGGGGGTATAACAATAAAGGTAACCCACTTGAACCAAAATACACGTGAAAGAAAGATAGATGACTGACCTCCAAGGGGTTTCATTGAAATGTGAATTCCCCTTTATGAGTTTCACGTTTGTGCACAATTTCATTAAATCAAGGTTTCAATTCCAATTCCTCCTTTGGGAAAGGACATTACACAATAAACAAACAAAAACATATCCAACGCTTTCAAAAGCAGCAAATTTTTGGCTGTCAGGAAAAAGGTTATCACATCCTTTCAGGAGCGACAACTTATATATTCAATATTCTTTAAGTCAACCAACAATAAACAAACCACAAGAGGTGAGATACACCAGGCTGACATATAGTCTGACAAACCTGGCATCTATTCTGACTGCAAAAATGCTGAAGCACCAATGATGTCGATTCAATCATTGAAAATTTGCCATCAAAGTTAGAACGCCCATGAAGCTGAGTGCAGTCGGCAACTGCCACTTTGCGATCATGAAATAATCTGTGGCAAAAAAAAAGTACAGGAAACAACTGTGGGTATTAAATTGCGACCGGTTAAAGTCATCTCAAACATGCCTCACCACGATTGCAAACACTGAAGCAGCTTGGGCTAAGCTCGCTGCTTGCACCATTGTCGGGTTACACTCGCAGGTGCGTTGTTGGAAACATGTTGCAACATCTCTTGATGGCTTCAACAGCGCATGGAAACCCAAAAGTGACCTGGAGCAGTGCAAGGTAACAAACCATGATCTTTCTTTGATGGTCGTATAAGGCCTTCTGTGCGACCATTTGTTGTCAAGATGCTGGTTGATATACATGGCAAATATTATACACTTCGATGAGTTCCCATGCGCCATCGGCAAGTATACCTGAAGATTCAGGCAATGAAGCCACACCACATTGATCAAACCATTCAACACGATGTTGCACCAATATAAAATGCTGAGGTTTCATCAATACGACACCAATTTACCACTGAGAGCATATAAGCTGTTTTGGTTTTCGTAGCTGTCACTGCCTCTATGATGGTGGCTATACCTGACTTGAAAAGCCAGTGAAACGATCCCTTGTAGCAAACACTGACCTGTAGCAAACACTTAAGCTGAATGCAGTTGGCAACTTCCACTTTGTGATCATGATATAATATGTTGCATGAACTGTTTTTTCTCATATTTTTGTTTGCCACAGTGTTTGGCGGGCTCCACGCTTGCAGATCCACTGCACATAGTTGATCCAGCCAATTCTGCAACGTATATGGTTGAGTGCACACCACCCTCACAGTGTGAAATTAAGTTGGGTTAAACTGGGGAGCATGCGAGCGATGCCCGACAATGCCACAAACGCGAGCACAGCCCGCGGTCGTTGGTGAAAAGATCCAAAAGCAGTCATGGGAGCATGTTTGAGCCTATTTATGGAGCATGCGAGCTGGGCCCGACAATGCCACAAACGCGAGCACAGCCCGCGGCTGTTTGTTAAAAAGATACAAAAGCACTGGGTGTCATTGTGAACATGAGGTGATACACGGTTGTGAGGTGATACATGGTTGTGTGATAAATTTTGTAACCTCAAGGCTCAGAATATCCATGTGAGAAAGTTGTAGCTGGATTCTCATGGTGCGCCTGTTGCCCACCTGTAGTTGAAGATGGTGATGCGCATAGTCCTGCAGCAGGGGCAGGTCGGGTCTGTTGAACAAACAATCATGTTTGGGAATTAGACTTGGCCATCCAGATTCACAGAACTACAGCCTTCAAAATGGTGGTTGGATTGATGTGTTTCTACCATCCATCTAGGAACCACGACCTTTGACCTGATCATTGCAATCTTCAAAGTAGATGTAGTCGATGTCTAACATCAAAAGTTTTGTTCATTGTTTCGGGAATATCAGCATTTTGCATTTTTGTGATTGCACAAAATGGCATAGTGCCATTTTGTGCAATCACAAAATGGCAATGTGCCATTTTGTGCAATCACAAGTTTCCAAAATTGACATCAATGGTTTTTTGTGCAATCACAAAATGGCAATGTGCCATTTTGTGCAATCACAAAATGGCAATGTGCCATTTTGTGCAATCACAAAAATGCAAAATCAATTTTTTTTTGGATGAACCTGAAAATAGCTAAGGAGGGGGGAACTCTCGCCAATTTTTTCCGGCAACTTTTTTGCAAATTAAGTTCCAAAACTGACCAGATCTGAATTTCCGTGGTTGGCCCACATGGAAAACCAAGCAACAGTCACCATTTTTTCAACATGTTGGATCATTATTTTTTGGCATCCATTTAGTAACAGTTTATGTTTTTTTCCTACTTAGAGCAATATCAGACACCGATTCAAACAGTTTGCGACCTCATCCACCCATGAATCTCCCACCCAACACTCACGTCGTGATATCCTGTTTTTTTTCTCACGCTGTGATGTTTGCGGAGGAAATCTTGAGGCCATGCATAGGCTTCCACAACAAAAAACTGAGATGAAATCTTGATATGACAATGTCAAACGGCAAAATTAAAAACAAAACACAATTTGGTCGAATGAGTGCAGCTTGCATTCCCAAACTCATAACATCATATTCTTGCCATGGTAGCCCCTGTACGTTTTGAAATTCCGGTCGCCATGTGATCATGATAGTTCACGCGACATTCTGCTGTTGAAGCCTTTTACTGCAAACATTCAGTTGATGTTCCAACCAACCTTTCTCATAGCTCCTTATGAAAAAACTATTGCAACATCTCCTGACGGCTTCAACAGTGCATGCATGGAAACTCACAAGTGACCGGGACCAGTGCAAGGTAACAAAACGTTGTCTTTCTTTGATGGTCGTATAGGTACCTCTGTGCAACCATTTGTTGAAACCATGCTTCTTGGTGTTCATGACAAATACTTTGCATTTCAATGAGTTCCCATGCGCCATCGGCCAGTATGCCTGCAGATTCAGGCAATGAAGCCACATCACATTAACCAAACTATTCAACATCATGTGGTTTCATTCGTATAGCACGCAACTGCCACAGAGAGCATATAAGCTGTTTTGGTTTTCCTAGCTGTCACTGCCTTTCCCAGGCTGCTACAGTGAAACGGCCATCGGCCAGTGTACCTGCAGATTCAGGCAATGAAGCCACATCACATTAATCAAACTATTCAACATCATGTGGTTTCATTCGTATAACACGCAATTACCACAGAGAGCATATAAGCTAGTTTGGTTTTTTTTGGCTGTCACTGCCATGCTTGGGCTATAGTGAAAGGACCCCTTATACCATATAGCTGATCCGAGCCCTTATATGCACCCTCAGAGTAAATTTGATTATGATTATTGCATGGTTAGTAAAGTTTTAAGGTGGGTTAAGTTTTTATCTTTTTTCCAGGGGATCAGCTATATTCATCGACCATGCCTTGCGAGATCACAGGACGCTTTCGAGCGATCTAGCTAAGCTTCCCATGATCTGCAAGGCATGGTCGATGCGATCGCCCTGCTCCTGTCTTTCGATCGCCAGCTGGCGATTCTGCTGTACACGCTGGTATTTCCAGCCGCCACGCCTTCGGTTGCTCGCATCTCTGATGCGCTTCTGCCTTGGAGCGGCCAAAGGCATGAAAACATATCATCCCCATGATGTCAACTGTGAACTGCACCTAAACTATGCGTACTTCAAAAGCATATCCAACAAGATGAGATTTGGGAAGTAGAATGTAAACCAACTTCACCAGAACTTTCACTGAATGCACGCCGGGAAGACCTACATGTTGTTATAATGCAATATGTCTATGCTTTGTCCAATAAGAAAATACAAACAACGAAGGTAGTAAAGGTGAATGCCAACGACTGCAATAGTATTGCAATAGTATTGCTTGCGAGCATAGCCCGCAAAGGCAGTGCAGCGAGCAAGGCCCGCCTGCACCCTTCGACAAATATATAGATTCTGAGAACTGTGTGTCTAAGTGTATCCAGTGCAAAGAAAAATAAGTACAAACAAAAAGACGTTGAAAAAGACAAGATGCGGGTGGTTGTCGCCTTCCTGCCCAGTGCGCTCCATGGACCAGCTCACCTCTCTGTTCCTGGGAATCGCAAGCATGGGTCGTTGGTTGCATGCATGAAGGGAAACTTCATAACATGGTCTGCCCTGCAAGGACCATCGATTCTAAAGTTTAAACATTCTCACTGTTCACTGGTTTGCTGCCCTAAACAAAGTGTATATATATATATTTGCTGAATGACTGCAGTATCTTTTAAAAAACAAATATATATATATATATATAGTGGCAAACTTAACTATACAAAGTATGCAGCCTAGAATCGCGCTCCATCCATCTGATTGCCACGTCTGTGACATGGATGCTGTGGCCTGCCAGCTGCCATCTGCATCATGCCACGTTCCAGAGGGCTGCCACTGCCCATCAGAGGGCTGCCACTGCCCATCAGAGGGCTGCCACTGCCCAGAGGGCTGCCACTGCCCAGAGGGCTGCCACTGCCCATGGCACTGCCCATCTGCAGAGGTCTGCCACGGCGGCTTCCAGGTTGTGCTCTTCATGAGCTCTGGTGCTGGCCATTTCGGACCCCATGACCCGTCTTTCTCAGCAGCACCCTTCTTGGCCTCATAGGCGTCCACGTCGACCACCTGCTGCTGCTGCCGCGACCCCGCCGCTAGGGCATGCCCCTGCCCATAGCGGCGAGGTCGTGGCATGGCCTTGACCTTGGGCGGATTCTTCGGCTCTGGCACTGCCTGCGGTGGTGGTGGTGGTGGTGGCATTGGTGGTGGAGGAAGCTCCATGCCACCACCACCTGCATCATCGGCTGCACTCGGTGCAGCAGCCGCCTTCATGACACCTGCGTCACATGAGCCACCTGCACCATCGGCTGCACTGCTACTTGGCCCATCGGGATCTTTCGATCCCTTCGGCAATTCACTGCTGAGGGAATCATTCACCGCCCCGGCTAAGTCACCATCGATGAACTTCTGGAGGATGCGTCCTGGGACGTAGCCTGCATGCAGAAGCGTGGAAACAAATTGCCAAAGCCTACATGAGTGAAGGAAATATGTTTATATATTGCCCTGTCCAACATGCAATGAGTGAAGTGTATGTTTATTGGGCCGCGCCTCCTGGAATTTCAACGTCATCTATAACCTTCGAAGCAGTGCCGCGAACTGGCATGCGCTCCAGCTTCGAAGCTGCCATTGTGTCCATTGCGTTGCCGAAAAGGTCACGGAGAATTACGAACAGCATTTGTTGGAGTGCATGAGCTCCCCAGGGCAATGCACTTTTGATGTTTATAGCGGTATATTGTAATCAATTAAATTGTAGGGTTTCCCCAGAGGGAAAATGGTGAATGCATCTATATCGGCGACCCTGCTATACCATGCTCAAGGTAGGTATATATATATATTATACTATATATAAATATAAACCATAAAACAAGTGACAATCGACCTATACACACAACTAAAGGTGCCGGCATGTCGCTGTCTTCATGACATGCGCTGAAGCCCAGGAGGAATGCAGCAGTTTGTGAACATGTCCTGGTCTTATGCCTGTAACTTGCATCAATACAATTGGAATTTCTTTCAAGGGATGGATGATGCTGAACTCTTCTCCACATTAATTTTATTCTCTTGTTTTTTCAATCCAAATTTCATTGTACCTTCGAACCTCACCAGCCCTCCCCATAGTGTCCTGTGGGGCCAGCTGAGCTGCGGAATGATTCAGTAGCCTGCATGGGGCGGTGAGCAAAAATCCATTATAGAACTCGAACATGTCTTGCTTGGTTTCTGTCATGCATGCTGGGAAGCAACCACAAAATATATTGGGCCACATTGAAATCCACATGGAAGCAAAACGGCATCCACGGATCTACCAGAACGGCTGAACGAAGTTGAGTCAAAAAGATCGCGTTTTTACTCCGTGTAGCATGCCTTCGCGAATGTTTCTGGCAAAAAATGCGCATATCATTTTACATGTTCAAAGACAATGTGGTTTGAAACTTATCCCTGCGAGCAAACCCGCAAAAGAAGTGCGGCGAGCAGAGCCACGCCAGCACCAAGTGAAGTATAGCCAAAGCTGAAACTATGATCTTGCAAGATAGATCAGGCATGGAAGGCGGCGAACAAAAACGCCTAGTGCACCTTGGTGAAGATCTCAACCACAAGCTAGTCATGGCTGGCCTGGGCAGTGCCGAAAATGAATGCAAAAAACCTTGGCGGCAATGAGCAAAGATGAAAAAACAAACTTGACCTGACCCATGGAACAATCAGATTTCCCAAGCTGTTCCCATGGACTATGGTCATTGAAATTCAAGCAAGCAAAAAAAAACAATTTGCAAATACAAGCTGTTTGATTGAAAACGTCTCTACGGAGCAAAGGTCTGCATTCATAAAAATTAAATGGGCAGCACGCCTTCTCATCCCAACTGTTTCTTATAAGGCCTGGAATCAAAACAGCGTCAGCCAGCAAAACAGCCTGGGCACCCGCACCAAAATCGTAAAACAACAAGCCTTCAAAACATGGCATGCACCTACTTCAAAGGAGTGTTGAACCAAAAAACGGCGAATGAAACACTCAAATGATTTCGCTGGCCAACGTGCGGCAACCATTGCGAAAAACGTTTCATGTCATGCATGCCCCTCTTGACAACGAAAAAAACTCTTCATGCAGCATGGAGCATGCATGGCAACCTCTAAATAAAACAGCAAATGTTTATATATGTCACATTTGCCGGATATAAAAGAAAGATGCCAAAAGGTCGATTTGTGACAACTATATTTTTGGTTTGAAATGTTTCTCCATGACAAACAAAAGGAAAAATAATCGAACAAATCAAAGCTCGAAGCCACGCAGGCCGACGCATGCCTCTGAAAATCAAGGCTCACATCTCACAAACAAAGCTTGCAAGGCCCAAACTGACAAGGTTATGTATGTTGTTTTAGCTCAAAAAGTATCTTCCTCTAAGTAGGCTAAGTGACTTAGGCTCCATGCTCCGTAAGTGACTTAGCCCACTTAGAACTAAGTAGGTTAACCTACTTAGGCGACTTAGCTATAAGTCCGCTAAGTAGCCTAAGTCAATTAGCCATAAGTGGGCTAAGTTGCCGCGTAAATTTATATCTACTTACATAAAATGCTATCTACATAGGCTAAGTGCTATGTACTTAGCTAAGTGGACTATGTGTCACCAATGACTTAGTCAACTTATATGTAGACTTAGGCTACATATAAGTATACTTAATGGACTTACTAAGTACATTACTAAGTACGCTAAATATCATAAGTACTTACTAACCAGGCTGATTCTCCAAGGAAGAAGTCGCTGGGGATGAGCGAGCTTGGCTGCGCGGACGGCTGCGGACGGGAAAGGGGTGCGGAGAATTGCGCGGACGGCTGCGGACAGCGTGGGTGCAAGGGAGTGGCTGGAAATGGGTGGGGAGAAGAAGCCGCTGGAGATCAGCGAGCGTGGCTGCGCGCACGGCTGCGGACGGGAAATGGGTGAGGAGAATTGTGCGGACGGCTGCGGACGGCGTGGGTGCCAGGGAGTGGCTGGAAATGGGTGGGGAGAAGAAGCCGCTGGTGATGAGCGAGCTTGGCTGCGCGGACGGCTGCGGACGGCAAATGGGTGCGGAGAACTGCGTGGACGGCTGCGGACGGCGTGGGTGCAACGGAGTGGCTGGAAATGGGTGGGGAGAAGAAGCCGCTGGTGATGAGCGACCTTGGCTGCGCGGACGGCTGCGGACGGCAAATGGGTGCGGAGAAGTGCGCGGACTGCTGCGGACGGCGTGGGTGCAAGGGAGAAGTTGGAAATGGGTGGGGAGAAGAAGCCGCTGGTGATGAGCGACCTTGGCTGCGCGGACGGCTGCGGACGGGAAATGGGTCGGAAATGTTTGCGGAGAGCTTCGCTGGGAGGGGGCGAGACAGCATGCTGGACATAACAAAACCGTGGTGCTGGACGGAGAGGAAATCGTGCAAATAGCTTGTAATAAGACTTGTGACATGGATGCGAAACGCTCGGCAATAGGACACTCATGGGAAAGAAACGTTTTTCCCAAAAGCCTTCGATGCTTGGGTTCTCGTTTAGTTGTTTAACCGCGTGTGGGAGCGAGCTGGTTTGAACGGTGGTGTGCGAACGGCGTGGATGCAAGGGAAAGGAAGGGAAAGGAAAGGAAAGGAAAGGAAAGGAAGGGAAAGGAAGGGAAAGGAAGGGAAAGGAAGGGAAAGGAAGGGAAAGGAAGGGACAGGAAGGGAAAGGAAGGGAAAGGAAGGGAAAGGAAGGGAGGAATTGCCGCGCGGACGGGTCTGAGGACGGCGCTCGGTGCAGGGGGGGGTGGGCTGGTGGAAATGGGTGGGGAGAAGAAGCCGTGGTGATGAAACGAGCTCGGCTGAGCGGGATGGTGCGGGAAGGAAATTGGGTGCGGAGCAACTGATGGGAAGGCTGCAGGACGGCGTGGGTTTGTGCACGGAGTGGCTGGAAATGGGTGGGGAGAAGAAGCCGCTGGTGATGAGCGAGCTTGGCTGCGCGGACGGCTGCGGACGGGAAATGGGTGCGGAGAATTGCGGAGACGGTTGCGGACGGCGTGGGTCCAAGTGAGTGGCTGGAAATGGATGGGGAGAAGAATTCGCTGGTGATGAGCGAGCTTGGCTGTGCGGACGGCTGCGGACGGCAAATGGGTGGGGAGAATGGCGTGGACGGCGGACGGCGTGGGTGCAAGGGAGTGGCTGGAAATGGGTGGGGAGAAGAAGCCGCTGGTGATGAGCGAGCTTGGCTGCGCGGACGGCTGCGGACGGGAAATGGGTGCAGAGAACTGCGCGGAAGGCTGTGGACGGCGTGGGTACAACTGAGGTGTGGAAAAAGTTGGGGAGAAGAAGCCGCTGGTGATGAGCGAGCTTGGCTGCGCGGACGGCTGCGGACGGGCAATGGGCGCGGAGAAGTGCGCAGACGGTTGCGGACGGCGTGGGTGCAAGGGAGTGGCTGGAAATGGGTGGGCCTGGGGAGAAGAAGCCGCTGCTGATGAGCAAGCTTGGCTGCGCGGACGGCTGCGGACGGCAGCGGACGGCAAATGGGTGGGGAGAATGGCGTGGACGGCTGCGGACGGCCCGGCGTGGGTGCAAGGGAGTGGCTGGAAATGGGTGGGCAGAAGAAGCCGCTGGTGATGAGCGAGCTTGGCTGCGCTGACGGCTGCGGACGGGCAAGGGAGTGGCTGGAAATGGGTGGGCCTGGGGAGAAGAAGCCGCTGCTGATGAGCAAGCTTGGCTGCGCGGACGGCTGCGGACGGCAAATGGGTGGGGAGAATGGCGTGGACGGCTGCGGACGGCCCGGCGTGGGTGCAAGGGAGTGGCTGGAAATGGGTGGGCAGAAGAAGCCGCTGGTGATGAGCGAGCTTGGCTGCGCTGACGGCTGCGGACGGGCAATGGGTGCGGAGAATTGCGCGGACGGTTGCGGATGGCGCGGGTGCAACGGAGTGGCTGGAAATGGGTGGGGAGAAGAAGCCGCTGGTGATGAGCGACCTTGGCTGCGCGGACGGCTGCGGACGGCAAATGAGAATTGCGCGGGCGGCTGCGGACGGCGTGGGTTCCAGGTTGTGGCTGGAAATGGGTGGGGAGAAGAAGCCGCTGGAGATCAGCGAGCTTGGCCGTGCGGACGGCTGCGGACGGGAAATGGGTGCGGAGAATTGCGCGGACGGCTGCAGACGGCGTGGGTGCAACGGAGTGGCTGGAAAGGGTGGGGAGAAGAAGCCGCTGGTGATGTGCGAGCTTAGCTGCGCGGATGGTTGCGGACGGGAAATGGGTGCGGAGAAATGGGTGAAGGGAGTAGCGATAGAAGCCGCTGGTGATGAGCGAGCTCGGCTGCGCGGACGGTCGCGGACGGGAAATGGGTTCGGAGAATTGTGCGCACGGCTGCGGACGGCGTGGGTGCAAGGGAGTGGCTGGAAATGGATGGGGAGAAGAAGCCGCTGGTGATGAGCGAGCTTGGCTGCGCGGACGGCTGCGGACGGCAAATGGGTGGGGAGAATTGCGCGGACGGTTGCGGACGGCGTGGGTGCGAGGGAGTGGCTGGAAATGGGTGGGGAGACGAAGGCGCTGGAGATGAGAGAGCGTGGCTGCGCGGACGGCTGCGGACGGGAAATGGGTGGGGAGAATTTCGCGGACGGCTGCGGACGGCGTGGGTGCAAGGGAGTGGCTGGAAATAGTTGGGGAGAAGAAGC